CACCCTGTATATATATATATATATGTATATACATATTTTTACAAATATCAAGAATTAAACATATATGTACCTGTAATAGTTCCCGGCTTCTGAATAAGAAGTATAGGTATCTTTGCCATAATGTCCTCGGTATAATATTTGTCATTTGATACACCAGGTACAAGACATTCACTTCTGAGTTTGTTGATAAAGTCGGTAGACATATAAGAACTGCTTACAATACGACGTATTTCTGTATCCCAAATTGGAGAACAGTTAGAATTATTTACTAGTTGATCAACTTGAATTGATTGACTTGATTGAGAACATGTTTCTGTTATTTCAGTATTACATTTTGTTCTCTTTTCAGGTAAATAGAAGCGTGGATCTAAAATAGTTACTCCAATAATCATATTTATTGCTAAGTAATTTGGTGATCCCAAAGATATCAATGTTTGCCATAATTGTTTTTGCATTTTAAAAGCCTCCTTATTTTCTTCTTTTTTATAGTAATTAATATACCATGTATTTTTACTAAGTTCTGTATTTAGATATTTAGATATTGTAATGTCTTCATTCATTTTGTCAATCACTTTTTTCTCTGCAAATTGTACATTATCTGTTGATATTTTATTCGCGTCAGTCGTGTTTATTATTTTACTTTTTAAATTGTCATTATCTTTAAGAACAGTGTAATCCGTACAAAGATCTAACTCATTTAAAGATGGCAATTGTAGTGCTTTTGTTAGTACATTTAGAGTTAATGTCCCACGAAGCCGAAATCTATTTAATGCATTTCTTAATATAATCATTGTACAACCTACAATATTCGTATACAGATAGTTCAAATTAAGGATAGTATTAGCTTGTTCAACATTATTCTGCTTAAATTCAAAACTCGATATAATTTCACTAAGAAAATCGTCATAAAAAGCAGGATGTACCCAGATCCAAATAGTCTTAATATTTGTTTGAACATCCAATTTGTTCGGTTTCCAGAAAAAATCCACATTACCAATAGGAAAATGCGGATAACCATTTTTCTTATAAAACATTAAAGTACCTTCTCTATGGCCATTGATATATTTTTTCGCTGCAAAAGTTAACATTGATGTGTTACAATGCGCTTTTAAAGTTGTCTTTAATAATTTTTCCTCTCCTGTTATTTCAATACAAGTATAATAAGAAATATCTTGTAGAAGACAATATTTTGCACTGGCTCGGTAATTAGCTTTAAAACATTTATCATTTGGATGATTAGCAATTCTATATCCCCATTTGTCAATCATATTAAAACGTTTTGCATGCCAGATATGTGTTTCTAACCAGATTTTATTGCGTTGTCTGCGATTATATTCGGAAAGTAAATTGCGTGGTCTTCTACGATACTTCCGAGACAGTCGTTTGTTAATTGATGGTAAATCTTTGCCATTCCCTGATTTTGCCATTTGTGCTAAATGTGCTTTTCGCAATCTACGTGGCAATCTTTTAACATTATGAGACATGACACGTCTACGCATATATACTGGAAGCTTTTGAAATATTAACTTGGTCTGTTTAGGATTTTCTATAAATAAAAATAATTTAATTAATATTAATATAACAATAATAACAAATTATATTTGTCCACATAGAATAAATTTACAAACTATGACCAATATTTAATTATTCATAATCAGTTTTCTTATATTTTTAAATCAAATAAATAAAAAATATAAAAATTTCAGAACCACCACTAGATGTTCATGTATAAATTCTTTTTCTCTTGTCATCCTTTATATAAGGTAGTTCATAATTATTGACAAAGTGTGCTTGTGTGTGTGTACAGATAGAGCTGACAGATAGAACTGAATCTGAAACTACAGAACTATAAGCCCTATCTTGCAATATAAATAAAGAAAGATCAAGTGTTTTTCAAATTTTTACTGATCATTTGAGGAACAAATTTGTAAAGTTTGATGTTATTATGAAATTTAAACTTGGAAACACACACAATTCATTTATTAGTAAAGCAAAGATTTTAATACATGAAATACATAATTATGTACATGATGGTCACATACCATGCACACATTCATACTGCTGTATTTTATTCGTATGATATAGGTTTTCTAATCTTAGCAGTTCTCAATATTCAACAATTAATATCTCAGTTCACAGAGTAACTCTTTTTTACCAAATTCTTTCATTTAATGTAAAAATGCATAGAATGATCCTAATTTGAACAAAATCAGAGGTAAAATAGTTCAACTGAATAATTACAGTAGCTCAATCGAATAATTAACTGTATCGAATTGAAGTATTTTAGCATACCTATCGAAGATGTCATCGCAGAAATTTCATGAGCTCGTGAAGAGACTAAGTTCATAATAGACACCTCACGTGGAAGTGACTGAAATTCTAAGAATTCACTAAATTGTTTCTTCTTCATGGTTACCTGTTAAAAATAATAATTGCACTCAAGTTTACTCAATTTCATTTAAAGTGACTAGATTTATTCTAAATGACTAACTAGAATTTAAGTGACTGAGAATGTTTATGTAGTAGAATGTTTATATTCGCATGATTTTTTGTTTCGACCTTACTCTTTTTTCTACGATCATGATGAGCTCATCATCGCTGAACGATATTTGTATAATATTTAATATGTAAGATCTTGAGCGATATACGGATGATTGAGGTAACAGATTGATTATTATTGTAAATGTGTGATATCAGATATTATTACATATTCTATATTCTTATTCAGAGTGGTATGCAAAATATGTGTGATGCAAATCGTTTATTTTAGCATTAATTTGATTGTTCAAAGATATTACATTAAAGTTAGTTAAAATAAACTTTGCATTGTTTAAAACTAAAACGTCTACTTGAAGTGAATATAGAAACTAGTTACGACAGTTTTTCTTAACAGTACTTAATTTTATTAAATATACAACTATAATCATAGTTGCTTTCCATTTACTCCGATTCTCAGATAATTCTCACTTGTAACGTCATTCAGTTGAATGCGCGTTCCTTTTGTTCCTGTGTTGTTATTTGTTAATTTTGCCAAAATAAGCAAGTGGTGACGTCATTAATTTGAGTATTTCATACTCGGCTCACTTCAGACTCAGTTTCACTAATTGTGTGTAAATGAAAAGCAACTCATATATTGTAAGAGATAAATTCGGTTACTGCAGTCGGGGGCGGCACAAATCAGTACAAATCTGCGGCGAGACGCATGAGGGTGGCGTCACATCGAGAGAAAATTACAACTGATTACAACTGATTACAACGGAACAGGCATGGCTCCAGCACACTGGACGTGGAAACGGAAACACTTCCCGCGTAGCAAAATGTGACGCGGTAGTCATGAGCTTACAACTCCTAATGGTATGTTTCCGTCACGCGTCGCGTCGTGAAAGAGAGAGAAGAAGTTTATATGGCCGGTATTCATAGTCGATTCTTAAGCGGGGAGCACAGACTTTTGCATAACGCATAAACATAAAGAATTTGATTGGTCCATTGACTCATGCATAAGAAAATGGACCAATGAAATTCATTATGCACATGCTTTATGCGTTATGCAAAAGTCTGTGCTCCCCGCTTTATGGCTCCAGCACACTACTGGATGCGAAAAGCTTGCCGCGCGGCAAAATGTGACGCGGTGGCCAATGAGCTTAAGCTCCTAACATGTTCATTGGCGTCACATTTTGCCGCGCGGCAAGCGTTTCCGCGTCCAGTGTGCTGGAGCCATAAATGTATAGTGTGTATGTTACGTATACTATAGCATATAGAGTAAAATCTTCCTCTGAGCGGACGTTTTGGAACGTAGCCCTATTGTAAAACAGGCCTTTCGATGTCAAACAAAGACAGAAGTGCTGAAAGCGTCCAAACTGAATGCTACTCTTATTATATTGTGATTATATCGTGATCAGATCAATAATGTATCTTAAAACATTTTAAGACGAGGTGAAAATTACAAAAGTGATGAAATTAGTTACGTTATGTGTTAATTAATGAAATATTTTAGTGTATTTTGTTCATTTTTCACCTCATTTCAATCGACCTCTTCGTTGCGCAATGCATGCACGACTCACAACGTATAATACATACATATATGTAATGCATATGTAGTACGTGTGCATCTGTGTTTGTAATCGGCCTATCCGACAGACGATGCGGTAAATCGTTGAACTTTGAGCAAAAGGCTTTTTATAAAAAAAAAAAATTATATCGTCATCATAAGAAAATTATATCGAAGATTTATTTGCGACGAATAAGTCGGCGTCGGCGTGAACACAACGGATAAGCTGCAAAGTGCAACGTGATGACCAGTGACGACTACAACAGATCGACGGATATCAAACACAGGTCAAACAAAATGGTCGCCTACTTGATGGCGTTTGGCGGTATCTTACCGTTGTTTACTTGGTAGGAAGGCGATTCGAGGCACGTTTGTTGATTCCTAGCTGCCGTTTTCGTTACTCGGTCTCTGCTCCTCAGCAATGTAAAGTGATATAAAGATTCCACTCGATCGTGGTATTCCCAATTGCCAAATATCTCATTTCTACTTCTTTTTTATACACAGAAGAACAATATCATTGCAGTGTCAGTAGTTGTTCATTTTCATGATTGCGGCATGGACAGATGGATTTTGATGCAGGAGCACAACATCTTTCAATCAACATGACCGTGTACTGCTAAAGAATGCATACAACATTGTGATGCTATTGATTAAGGTCAATTTCATGATACTTTTGGTGAACTTGTACAATTACAGGTGCAGGTAATCACAACCTTGATGTTTTCTAGCCTAGATTACATTCTAAAATGTGCTCTTTTCTCTGAGGAAAATTTTACTTAATATAATATAGTATGTATACTGTATACTTGGAATAAATTTTTTCTTCAGAAAAAATATTTTGGAATATATCGACCTATTGAACATGAGCATAATATGACAGAGCACTGGTCTGTTGTACCAGAGATCCTGGGTTCGATCCTTGGTAGGAACCAAAATATATTTATGCTTGTGTTTTCTCTTGGAAAGGCTGGCAACTTTCCAAGAGTATTCTTGTTCGCAGAACCAGCTAAAAAACTAGGTCCTATATGTTTGTGATAATTGAATAATCAATGTATATATCATAAGCATATGAGAAAGGTACAACAGATATTAAAGGTCTATAATGTAAGAAAAATAAGATTTATTGAATCATTTATAGCGTGTATTCGTCGTCAATATAAAAAATCTATAGAGTCTGAATACTAGTAGTATACATTAGAAGATCTGACCTTAAAATACTGTGATGTTTAATTCTCTGAATATACATTTAATAATAAATAAAAAATGATGAACCCTTATCAATTGATACAGAAAATTATCCTATAATAGATTAGTTATAGTTGAAATTTTTTTCAAACTTTTGAATGAATAGATGCATTCAGTAAACAATGAATAAGTGCTCAATAATGTTTATCTTTGAAGTACAATAGATTCATGATAAATCTAGAAAAATAATATGTATTCATTAAACTCTTGTGTCAATGTCTATTGTAATACTGGATGCATTTATTGTAATTAAAATATAAACAAATCTCTCGATGTTGAAACAATAGAGGATGATAACAAGGGCAAATCTGAGAGTCAACAAAACTTATAATTTAAATTTTCCTGTATATTAAAAATTCTGAATATAATTAAATTTCGTATGCATACATGACATGTTTCGGCTCCTGTATTGAGCCTTCTTCAGATGTAATAATGTCCGTGGTATCGCTGTTACAAAAATTATTTCGCTATCTTGTTGTGTGTTTGTCGATGAGTAACTCTCCGAGAGAACGAATATGCTGACAATAGAGTTTCGTTGACTCTCAGATTTGCCCTTGTTATCATCCTCTATTGCATTTATTGTGCTACTAAATTCTTTATGAAAGCAAAAGATGAATGTATAATTTATTTTTCAGGCAAACAGAATGTCTAGTTCATATGTCATCGAGCCTCAGGAAAGCAATTCTGAGAAAAGTGATGATACGTTAATCCTTGTTGTCAATGATGACGGAATAATATCTGTTGATCAGACAACTTTACAAAACTTGATAAGTAAGCAATTGCAAGCAAGTTTGTAAAGTAAAAGATATAATTTCTTATGAAGGACTGGTATAAATAAATAATATTTCATGGTATGCAATAATAATGAAATTGTTATTTTAGTGAATCAATCAAGTGCTAATGTTCGTGTGGTAAGATTAGGACAATCTGATGCAGATACTGAAAATGGTGATATAACCTTGACAGTAGATCCACCAACATTTGCTCACTCTACAACAAGCTCGGTAAGCGCCAATGTTAGTACTGATCCAGGTGGATTGGTAGATCCTTTTATGGAGATGGATCCAGAACAGTTGGAAAGATTAGAAACAGCTTTGCAAAGTGAAGAGGCAAAGCAGATACTTGGAGAAAATGTTACTGCAATGCTTGGTACTATATATATATATATATATATATATAATTTTTTTGTTAAAGTACTTTTTTATTTTACTCTTTTGATTGCAATGATAAAAAAGTTCTTGTTTACATTATCAACTTTTGCAAATTTTATTAGTGTCAATACGAAGCTTGAGATCGTGCGCAAATTTTTGTGAACGTTTTTTGTTTCTCTGATTTTATAAGTAATCTATGCAGCTTCTGTATGTACTAATCCTTTTTAGATATGTTATCAATAGAAGAGTTACAGAATACAATGCGATATAATATACAGCTGGACCATTGTTACACAAGCAGATTGTCACCTAGTGATCCAGTGCCAAAGGATCCCTTACCAATTGTTGATGATTTATCTGAACCTAATGATATACAATATATACATCAATCATCCTCTCCCCGAACAATTATTACGTCACCGCCCATTAATGACATTGACAATATTGGGGTTAAAAATTCTGCAAAGAATATAAATGTAGTTATTGCCCATATATATGTATATAGGTTGTGTGTGGTAACCATAATATACTTGTTATTAATTATTTAATTGCTGGCATTATAGATATCGTTACATAGTAAACAGATGAATAGATCAATACGTAAAACGGTTGTATCTACATCAAATACAACTGGACCTTCTAGAGCCAACACAAGCATTATTGGGACTCTTAAATTGTCAGGGCATTCGAGAAATATAACAAATGCTCAACAAGGAATAACCAAATGTATTATCTCAATAATTATTTTTTAATTATTTCAACTATATTCTTTACGTACGTTAATAACAGCAAAGTATTATTATAATCTTGTTCACAGTACAAGCCAAAAATAATAAGAAAGAAGAAGAAAATGATGATATCACAGAATCGTCTACAGAATCTTCGGAATCTGAACCATCTGACAATGGTAATGATTCAGATTTTGGCCTTCGTAAGAGAAGTAATGCGAGAGCTCGGGGAGGACGGAAAGGTCTTACTACAAGAGGTGGTAGTATGGCAGCTGTTCGAAGGAGAGGTCAAAATAAGCAATTGGATATGGAACAGGTGCGACGATTAGATATGGAGATGGCTGCTGCCGTTAACGCAATGAAAACTCCTGAAAAAGATGATAAATCAGGTGCGTAAATTTAGTGGAAAATATTTGATTATGTAGTGGAAGAGAATAACGTTATATTTTCATTATTAGAGAGATTTAGTCCTACTAAGAATAAAAGACAAATCAAGACACTCGGTGGAAAGAAAAAGGAAGAATTGCAGCTTACAGAAATGTCGACATCTGTGCTTCAAGAATCGCCACCAGCATATGAGAAAGTACTACAAACAACAAATGAAGTGAAAGCAAATTTAATTAATACCAATATGATTAAGGGTGATATGATATTGACCAAACCTGGTCAAGGAAGAAGCAATCAAAAGGTTACTTTTATTCAAAAACAAGTTCCGATGAAACCGAATGAATTTAAAAATATTGGACTTAAAAAGACCGTATTGATTTCTAAGGAAAAGTTTGTAAACCCAACGGGTACTAAATATTTTACGACGAAAGATGGGAAATTGCTTCAATTACCAATGACATCTAAAACGATGAGTTCCAATACGCAGGTTTCTCCAGTAAAGACAGTATTGACGCAACAACTAGCATCACAACTGTCTATGACACAGCAACAGAGTGCAAACCAAAGCTCACCAACACAGCAACAATCGAAAACCATTTTTTCGGTCAGCAATACGCCAATAAAAGTCAAGCCTACTGATATAAAGAGGGAAAAGAGAAAATCTGACACCAGTATAGAATCAACTTTGAAAGGAGAAGAAAATACCACAAAACCTATAGAAGTCAAAACATTAGATAGTCAGTATTTCTTCACTTTGTTACCAATTAAGAGTGAATCAAAGTGAATTTTACACATTAAATTATATTTCTA